AAAATGATAGTTGTGGGAAAGAGCAAGCTCCAGAGAGTACAGCGGTAAAGTCGTGTGGATCCGAGTGTTGTCAGTTTGCAAACTCACCCTGTAATACCTTCCGGTCGTGGAATGAATAAACGATTCAGCGGACCCGTGTTCTTTATGCTATAAATTTGGAATCAAAAACTTAAGTTTAAAATAAAGATTTGTGTTAGTGTAGCAACGCTACAACGGTGCAAGTAGGATCCCAGGGTTGTTATTAAAATGGTTTATATACGGGCTTAATCCAGGACAAGTACCACACTATATATTCCAATTTCGACGAAATAATTTGAAACTTGGAGCCGAGAGATGTCCTAAACATACGCTTTCTTTTACCTCCACTTCTTTCTTGTGCGCCTTGTTAAACAGATTGGGACATAGAGTTGGAATTTGTTTCATTCTTCTCAGCGTTTTCATTTAACATTGGTAGACACCTGCTGTCATAGATGAAATCACAGATGGTTCCCTTTAATGCAGATTATTTAGATGTATCAAAATCCATACCATGCGTTCAGCGTTATCAAAGGATACCTGCTCATAGTGTCATGCGAAGGAGTATAACTGCTTTCGTTGCCACCTTGAGAGATCGGCAACGCTCCAACACTTCTAGTAAGCGTAATATTGGTGATGAGCTGATAAATTTTTTCAAAAACACAAATATTTCTATGCAAAACTATTTCATACTTTTCAATGTCTATATTTATTTTATGCAACTATGAAATAACTAAAGGGAATTACTCAAAAGCTGTAGCTCTTGAATAAATAAGAAGAATTTTCCATTTATGCTTTAAAAAATACGTTTGCATCTAGTTTTTTTATTCTCGTACTTAGTCGTACATTAAACCCAAAAGCATTTCAGCAACCCAAAATAATCAAACATAACAATTTGCTCGGAAAAATTTGTGAAAAACAATCTTTTTGTTTAAGTAATTCGCAAACAACAATAGCAACAACGAAAGCGGCAATTAGAAAAAAATAATAGTGAAATGAGAATCACAAAATATATACCAACAATGCATTTATAAATTAAAACAGGCAAACATTCACACGAATTTGTAATGATTTTTGTGATTTCCATCTAAATATGGCTAAATAAGATGTCATAATACGGGGCGTGATGGATGTTTGTCCGACTAATAGAAAAATAAAACGAACAAATGAGAACAGACAGTCAATAGACAAATGAAGAAATTTGTAGTAGCTTCGATAGACAGATAGATAAACAAGGAGGATACAGAATTTGTAATTTATTTTTGCTTTTGTGATGGGCTATTTTTTTATGGTTAAACGAAAAAAAAAAACAATTAAAAACAATTAAAAATTCATATTTATTTGTATTCATCTCTTAAAAATATGTCAATTTCAGGCACGAATTTAAAAACACTTTATTTATTGTGAAACTAATTTTAAATATTTGTATTTTCTCTTAACTGTGAAAGATGAGCGGCTTGAAGAGTTTTGTCTTTGTTGTTTGATGGAGAATTGCACATTTCTAATGTCTTCGCATTTAAAGAGAAACCTTAGAGCATCCGCTTTCTAATGGTATGCATTTACTCCAGTATGTATGTTGGTCTATAAGCATAAATATTTATTTTGATATTATACATAATGTTTTTATAATTGTAATTCACTTAACTTTGTAAAGCCTGTACTCATCAGCGCATATGTTGTCCGAAATAGCACTACACGCATAGCTGGGATAGTTCATGGGGGAAAATTTTTAATAAATTTAAGCGACCATTACATCCGTTATAATTGCCAGAATTACACTGGTTATAAAAAAATGGTATAGAAACAATTGGAAAAAATACTTGCTTTTAAAATAAATTTTCTTCAAATAGATAAATTAATTAATTATTTTATTAAAAACCAGGCAATTAGCTGGCTACCTGTGCCACCCAGCGCTAAATAACCTTTCTGGCAACACTGGAGCTCACCACTTCCACGCCTCTGTCATTTGGTTTATGTTGGAGCTTAGTTTATCTTGATATATATATGACGCCTCAATTGTCTAAATCCCGGTACCCACATTCCTTCATCGTCTGATTGCACTTTGCACTAGGTCCATTCCGCCTTACCTAGCTTATGGAGATAATATCCGAATGCATCTACAATAATACTAAGTTACTTTTTATTCAGTGGAAATAACTATTTGGTTGTAATCTCCGTTTGGAAAACACAGTTTGAATTATTACCTTTTAAACTAAGACAGAAGAACCCTGTTCCTATGTCTATTTCGCTTTTATAAGTAACACAAGGGATATACATACTCTCTGGGGGCCTTCCTCTGCAATAAATCACTATAAAGCATTACAACGAATATTTGTAGTTCTAAGGTGTTTCATTGTAGCCGCTTTCTCTTAATTACAGAAAGCAAAAGTATAAGTTTTAAGCAAATGTGGAGTGCTACATATGTTTCGCTGATATTAGAGCAACGGCTGAGGGTGTCGGTAAAAATTTGATTTCATTGTCATTGTTTCTACGATAATTATCGGATTATGTGCCATCATGACTTAGACACTATGTCGAACAATCCACCAACAGCTTTATGGCTTGCGACCACTGATATGTTTTGCTAGTATGCAGAGACCGGTCATGGCGTATGAGCAATTTTTGAGCAAATAAGTAATTTCGATACACTGCTGAATGCCAATATACGTACGTATACATATATAAATATTTATATTTATATACACATATATTTTACTTTATTTATTTATTAATTTATTTATTTATTTATATTTTGACGGAAAAGCTTGGATGTAGCCAAATGTGGGTAAAGAAAATATTTTTTTTTTTAAATATGCTCATGGCGTCCACTTTTGTATCTACACGTATACTCGTACATACATAACTACATAGTGTATTATGTAATGAATGCTTGTTTATACCTATGTATTGAAGAGGCAACCAAAGGCATGTTAGCTTAAACTTGATTCAGAGTAAATGAATGATGTATGTGATGGTCAATTTGTTGAAGTGAATGTTTTATTGCATACAATTTGTCAAAAACTCCGATGGGAATCCATCAAGTACTTGTAAATAACCAAATTTTCAATTTTGCTTCACATTTCAATTCAAATTGAGTGTGCAAAGGCAATTTTGTAGAAGCCTAAGTGCTGAGTTCTTTTTTGGTTTCGTGAAATCTTCAGGGATAAGATGCAATGACAAAATTAAGCCCGGAAAGGTAAATTCAGCAATTAGTGCCTACCGCTCGAGGTAGTAGAGTGGTTAGTATTGCATACTGTAGTTCGATAGGCCCGGGTTCAAATACTGATACGATCAACATCTAAAAATGAAAGAAAATTAATTTAAATAAAGAATTTATTTCTGACATGAAGTGAAGGCTCCTCATAAGACCACCAGTCGTTCGGAGGCAACTCCGCATAAACTGCAGGTCCCTCTATTTGTTGGAAAAATATCAAGACGCAAAACCACAAATTGGACGAGAAGCTCGGACGAAAATCGTTTCAGCCGTTACATGACGCCAATTAAATATATATATATAAGTAATCAAATTGATTTTTAAATTTGTTTTATAAATATATTTACTAATGAAATTTATGTTTAATTCTACGTAAATGCGAAAGGATGTGTCTGTTTATTTACAAAATGAATTTATGTTTTTCGGTAGAGTTGGTCAAGATATACTTACATACTTCATTTCGAAAATTTCAGTTTCTTTTTTGTTGCTAACACTCGCTTGGATAACATTTTCTTCAACTACGTTTGATTTTATCCCAATTAATAGGGAAATGTTCAACAGCAGTCCACTTTGAACGCTCCTCACCTAAGTTGGTAAGAAACGATTTCCATAACTATCATTAGATTTGCGTAATTCTGCGTTAGATTACAAGGTTGTTATTGTTGTTGGTGTTAATGTTGGTAAGATAATTACGACCATAAATTATGACTGTCATGCGAAATGTGGGAGCCGAGTCACGAATGACAGGATCGTGTTTTTAATATCAGGAGATATTTCGTCTTCCCATCTCCAATCGTTCACTATCAGAGCCATACCCTTCGCTGCTTTGTCCAATTCGTAGAAAACAGAACTCAGGGTGTACCTGTTGTTGTAGCTTCTTTATGCAGCTCTCTAGCTGGTATTATATTCTCCAGCTATAAATTGAGGAACTCACATGACAAACACTTCACGCCTCTGTGAAGCCCTTCCCAATTCTTAGTGAGCTTTTGGTGTTACTGGAGATATTAAATTCTGAGCTAGCAACGGGTGCTGAAACTCATTTTACAGCTTGAAATTGTTGTCACGAAACTTATTTTTCCATCAATAAATATAGGATTTTTCCATTGCTGTTTATCCAAATATTTTGAAACGAAATTGGAAGGTTCCTAAAGCCGAACTTGTATTTATAAGTTAACTTTGTTAGATCTTATTTTTTTTCGTAGGTATCTCCCATGGCTCACAGACAAAAACGCTAATTCAAAATGATGTTTTTAGGAGCTTATTGAGTTCTGTTGAAAAACGTGCATGGGATGGTTTCATTGATGTCGTAAAAAGATTTTTTGGAAAGAACAAGGCGGGTAACTACAAAGATACGAGATGTGATCAAAAGGTATCCGTTATTTTAAATTTTTTCAAAAAGTATTTGTTTATTCATTAATAATTATCTTCCCCTTAAAATTAATCCCGACTAACCTTTAATGCGCATGTTTTCCTTCCTTTTGTTATTTAAGATTTCTACTTTTTTTTTGTTCTCTACAAAGTCTTACGCAGGGTCTTCGGCTGAAAAATGCTTATGCTCATTTTTGAACAGTGGAAAGTTGTTTGAAATTAAAACATTTATGCGGCCATTTCATATTAAACGTTTGGGGTTTCTTCTCGGTGGCTTCCTATTTGGCTGAAATTCAAACATTCCTTACTTCGTGACTGTAGGAATCTACTTTAACATTTCTAGCTTTTTACTTTCAATTTTTCAGTTTTATGTTACTGAATTTTCAATTTCAAATATTTTCTCTTTCTGAATAGTTATATTTTTCATTTTCGAGCAAATAAGGAACAGATTGTATTAACAACAATATACTTATATATTTTTATAAATATATTTATTCATATATATGTATATTTATGTATATATAGAGCTGCATAGCTAAATTGTTTTCTTTATAGTTGGCGATCCTGCTCATCGAATTTTGTTCAGTCTAACAAATAATTGTTCTGAACTCTACTGTTATCGTTCTATTTCAATTTTGATTACCATCTTGAACCTGAAACAACAGTTGCAGTAACATTGACGCACAAAAGCAATCAAATAACAAATATAAAATTTCAATTTAATTTGGTCAAATCTCCGGTGGAAATATGATCATATTAAATATAGTGATTTATCAATTGAAACGAAATTTTTAAAAGAAAATCTGTTATCTATTAAAAAAATCCAGAACTATCTATAAGGGATTAAAACTTTAAAGATATTAGTTTAAATAAATATGGAAAGGAAAACATACAGAAATGTTGGAATCGACAAATTACTCAGTCCAAGGTCCTATCAATTTTTCTTCACCGATTTCTGTTGAAGAGTACCAATTCCATTCGAGTGAGTATAACAACAACCAACAATTTTGTCTAACCGAACAAATCAGTATCAGGTTTTTATAATTTGTAACAAATTAAAATTAATATTTTTAAGTTACTTAATTTAAATCTATATTAAATTTTTTCAAGTTATTGTAAACTCCTCCAATAATGCATAGATCATCTATACGCGCACGTAATTTTACAACAACAGAAACACAAAAAGAAATCATCAACTCTAATATAGATTTAAATACCACTACTAAAATTTAACACAAGATATTCAGACACATTATTTAACACATCTTGAAGATAATTTTAAACCGAACTGCAAAGCAATTAACTTTCTTTTTTTTGTCCTGAAGCAGGCTTTCTGCTTGTTGAAGGACAATTTGAAATTAACAATCTTTATAATGACAATGTGAAAGAGTATCGGCAATTTTATTAACTTTACCTCGAATGTATATAATATCATTAGTTAATTGTGCAATATATTCTAAATGTCTTATTTGACGAAGAGATCTATCTGCTTTAGAATTTAGAACATGTGATCAGTGCAAACAGTGAAAACTCTACCCTCAGGAAAATGTTTAAAGTGTTTTATTGAGTTAAATATTGCCAAAAGTTCTATATCGAATGTTGAAAAATTAATTTCAGTTGGAGTTGATTTACGCGAAAAACATGCTTATGGTTCTAATGTGCTATTACTCTTTTGTTGTAAAACATCTCCAATAGTAACATTTGAAGCTTCTACTACAATTGATAATTCACCGTTTTTGTCAAAATGTGATAATAAGTTTTTGGTTCGGAAAGTCTTTTAACTAACATTTTCAAAATCTGTTGTCGTTTCATCTGTCCAATTTAATTCTTTTAGTTTATTTTTAATTCTAAATGTTAACATTTAGTTCAAAGGTCTTAATTCTGCTGCTAACACTTCAGTATATCTATAATAATAAATAAAAAGGCTGTGTTTTCCATTATGGTTCCAATTTTGTTTCAGTCAAACTAATTGACCAATCCTAAGGAAATTTGAAGGAATTGTTGCTGTTGATCTAATCAATGTTTATTTATTAAAATTAGTACATAAATGTTTATAAATTATAAGTAATTTGTTGTTAATAAATTTACACTTTCATCACAAATTTTTACTTCGCACGTGCACTTATTTAACATACATTATGCAAAATACTAACTTTGATCTGTTCACATGGGATTACTAAAAATTGTTGTATTTTTATTTTAATTGTTTAGCAGTAAAATATTATTTTATTATTGTACATTATTTTGATATGTTTTGTAAGAGAAATGTCCGACAATAACAATAAGGGGGTGTTGCCTTACGGAATAAAAATAAAATTACAATACTGTACAGGGTTGTATGTACACAATTATAATTTAAAAACACATTTTTTATACTTCATGAAAGAAATTTTTTTGCTATTTCAAATGTAAATATCTCGAAAACTATAGGTCTCCGGTATGTTTGGTTTTCGGTTTCTGAGAGAGGGTAGAACCCCCTACCACCTTTTATAATTCATTTTTCCCAAAGCTTGGAACCATAATGGAAAAGTTGCCCAATAAAAATATTACCTAAAAATGTTTTCAATTTTCTAATCGACGGAGGTTTTTCAAATTCTAAAATTGTTTCATTACATCCTAAAGAAGGTCTGATACCTTCACTTGAAATTTCATAGCTAAGATAATTTAATTCATTTGTTCCAAAAATACATTTGGCAGGTTTAACGTTTAAATTGTAACTTTCAAGTCTTTTGAATATTGATTTTAAATGTTCAACATATTGTCACTAACTACTAGAATATCAGCGATATAAACAAATACGAAATCTAATCCAGAAAACACTTCATTGGTAAATCGTTGAAATGTTTGAGCACTGTTTCTAAGTCCAAAAGACATGCGTACAAATTTAAGCAATCCAAGATGATTCAGTTATTGCTGATTTGTGTTTATCAGCCATTGGTATTTGATGATATGCTCGAACTAAATCAATTTTTGAAAATATCGTTTTATCTTTTAAATCAATATTTAAATACTAAATTTGAAGTAACGGATATCGATATAGAATAGTTATAAAAATTAATCTTCTATAATTACCACATAGTCTCCAACCACTTCGTTCTTTTTTGGGAACTAAATGAAGAGGAGATGCAGTATGTGAATTTGATGGTCGAAGAATACCAGTTTTAACTAAAAATCTGAATCACGTTTGTTTTAATTTTGTGAACAGTGAGGTGTTGCACTTATATAGAGTAGTCTGGTTCACAAGGAATGGATGGAAATGAGTTTAAAATATTTGTAAATTTATTTTAAATAATGGGAATTCCAAGTGAAAAATGTTGCAAAACCAGTAGAACCAAAAATTTTAAATTTTGTTGCTAAATCTAGTATTTCTTTATTTTTTATTTCTACTAAAATTCCAAAATTTTCTAAAAAGTTAGCACCAATAATTGGAGTTGGAATATCGACAATTATAAATGGAAATTCGAAATCTCTTCTTAAACCTAAATCCACTTTTAAAAGTGTGGTTCCAAATGTTTCTATATTAGATCAGTTTGCAGCCGAAAGTTTAAGATGAGAATTTCTTTTAAATGATCTTAATTTTGAAGATGGAATAACTGACATGATTGCGCCTTAATCAATCAAAAAATTGAGTTTGTTAAATTTATCGTAAATAAAAAGGTGGTGTTAATTTATTAATATTTGCATTATCGGCCACCGTCATATTATTATATTATCTTGCCAGGTTGACCACATTTGAAGGCATCATTCTTAAATTTTTGATCATACTAACAAATATTATTTTGAGTATTATTATTTCTGGGTCTTGATGAAATTCTGGGTCTAAATCTATATCTATCTTGAATTAACTTGTTATTCATTAGCATCTGCAGTAATTCTGTTTAGAGTTTGATACATTCCAGTTGTTAAGTAGGTTAAATTTTTAATGCATTGTTCTAAAATTAAGAGCTGAAGCTCTTTTTTTCACTAAGAGAAAATCTCTCACAAAAACTCTCGTAATTGTTTCGTATTTATTCGAACACGGAAGCGGATTAATAACATCTATAATTTTTGAAAAAGTTTCTCGTTGAAGGGAAATTAAAATATTTTGAAATTTGACATTTTCGTTATAAATGTTGGTAAATTCAAACTGTCTTCAATATACAAAACCATGCTTCAGGACATTGATTCCGAAAAGGAGGTAATTTAATTGACTTGGAATTCGGTCTTAAATTATCTTCACGAGACACAAATACAATGACAATCACCAAACAAAAAATGTTACATTTAACCTTAGTTAATAATATTACAGATGCGTTTCACTGTAGGGGGAGCAAATGTAGGAATCTTCTTTGACATTTATAACTTGTTATTTTCAATTTTTCAGTTCTCATGTTACGGAATTTTCAATTTTAAATATTTTCATTTTCTGAATTATTATAATTTTCATTTTCAAACAAATAAGAATAAAATTTTTATAGATATATTTATGTATATATGTACATGTATATGTATAAAAAGCTACATAGCTAAATTCTTCTCTATAGTGAGCTTCACATTTCAGAAAAATATAAATTTTATTTTGCTAAATATTATTTGGTCAACAAAATTTTGGGAATATGATTCATATTTTTTTAATAGAGAAAACTTATTATTTTTAAATATATATTTTTGTATGATTTTTTCTTTAATCAATCAGCGGATATGTAAAAAGCACGATACCGAATCTGTTTAAGTCAGTTAACTATTGAGCAATTTATGGACTCTATTCATAACTTTTAGGAAAACATTTTTTTTTGAAACGAAAACCATCGGTGTTTTTGAATTCGGTTAATATGGAATGAATGTATGAGGCAAAAAAACATTGCAAAACTCTCACTTTTTGTCAAACGCAATGATGATCTTTGAATAATTTTTAGAAAATTTCAATTCCGTAACTACTTTATTTCACGGTGGTTGACGCAGACTTTAGGGCCACCCTCTCTGTGGAATGGGAAAAGTACACTTACATATATAAATATTTAGATTATGGATTTTATTTATCCTTCTTTGAGAAATTCAATGATTTTTTAGTAGTCCTAACCTAGTTAAGTAAGGCAAAAAAAAGATAACTGATAAGTTTATGTACGAGCATTTTATATTTTAATAAGACTGGCTTCGAATGAAGTAATTTTCGCGTTTCAACTTGTTTTTTTGTTCCAATGAACTTTGTCAAGTGAAAATACATTCAAATTAAGTTTTCGATGAAGATCACTTGAAAATTCACACTCCGCTCAATCCAATTGCTTTCTAAGCCAGATTCTTCAGCCTTTTAGTCACTGGAAAGGCACATTTTGTCGCTTCAGAGTACCAAATAATGTCAGCGAATTATTGTATTCAATGAACTCGAGGCATAATAAATAATTATTTGCGCAAGCCTCTACAGTATTCCATTTAACATGCAATTTCCAATTATATGTTACGTTCGAAATGCTCCAATATTCCTGCAATGAATTTCGGATTGTTTTCCTAACTTCAATAATTTAATGATCGCCTATTTTTATCAATATCATATTAGCTTTAATTTCTCCAAATATTTATTAGCTACATGAACAATCTCTTCTATTAAAAATAAACTGTTTACATTTAAAATAAGCTGGATCTCTGTTTCTTTTGCTACGTTTGCTCCAAAACGTTTATTGATTTTTTTTGCGAATTCCATTTAAATTTTTTAACAATATTTGGTTATGCACATTCTCAAGGTATTTTTAACCTTAGATAAAATTGCATCAATTGTTTTCGAAAACAACTAACCTCACCATTGGAACAGAGCGAAAAGAACAATTATTCTCTCTCTCTTCCCGAGCAGAAAACCCCTCCGTTAGCTCTAGACTTTATGAGTTTTTATTATTACAGCTTAGAAATTTATGAGACTTTTCTCATTAAAAATTATCTCAAATACCAATAAAGGATAAATAGGAAAGTTTATTAGTAAATATTAGTAAATTTCTTTGATGTCAAAAAACT